TAAAATGGGTGAAATACTTCAAAAGGTAGGCTAATAAAGATATCCAAATAACCAATAAGCACACCAAAAAGTACTCAAAATCATGACATATCAGGAAAATGCATATTTCAACAACAACAAAAAAAAAAAAAAAAAAACATATCACCACACACTCTGCTGAAGAGCTAAAGTTAGAAAGTGTGGGCCCAGTATGCAGAATAGCCAACACTCACATGCACTGTTGGGGACTTACTGGTGGAACCCACATTTTTGAAAATCTAAAGTATCTACCAAAACTACACTTGAAGTCTACCCTATCATTCAGTAATTGCATTCCCCACATATAGCATATACCAAGAGAAATAAGAGCAACCAAGTGACAAACCAGACATTATGTTGAGTAAAAGAAGCCAAACATGTAACAGTAATGTTGTAGTTTTAACATTTATTTGAGAAGTCAGAAAAAGCACACCAAATCAAGCATAATAAGAGTCAAAATCCAATTTCCTCTGTGGAGTGATTATTGAGAAAGGAGATGAATGAACTTCCTGGAATCCTGGAAATGTGTCCACCAGGATGTATACATCTATGTGAAATTACATCAAGCTGTACACAGCTTGCACATTAATGTATGTATACCTTGATAAACAGTAAAAAGTGGTTAAGGGAAATGGTATAGTTATGCTTTTAAGAGATAAAATATAATTTTAAAAAATATTTTTAGTTGTTAATAGACCATCATTTTATTCATTTATTTATATGCCATGCTGAGAATCGAACACAGTGTCTCATACATGCTAGGCAAATGCTCTACCCCTGACCACAACACCACCCCTTTAAAAAAAATGTTTTAAAAAAGGGGGAGGAGGTAGCAAAATGTACCTGAAACAGCTCATAGCATTCCTCTTCTCACATAAAGGCAGTAAAATCTTCCCTGTCTGAAGGTATCAAATATAAATCCTCCTCTACCAAAATAGGATGACACCTATCTGAGGCTTGCCTCAATTACAGTCAGGATAACTTCATTAGCCACAGCTCTACTCACTTTTGGGACCACGGTAGGCTTGTATAGACATCAATCCCATAAGCAGAGTGAAGGATGGGACTAGACTGTGAGCATGATGACAATCCTTCTGCAAACTGGTCAACTCTAACAGGGCAGTGAAAGTGCCAGAGGAACTGCAATGAGAAGCAAAAATGCCAAAATGGCAACACCAGAGCTTGCCAAAGAAATCTAAGTTGTGTTTGGCCAGGATACAGGAGTTAATGGAGATGTTTGTGGAAGTGCAGCCCCTGAGGAGACTGAGGTCAAGCACTTAACATTCAGTTTTGAGCAAGTATGGATCAGGGCATTCAATACTCAGAAAAATGAGTTGAAAACTGGGGCCCACAAGGTCCCTACTCATCTGTCTACCTATATCGTGGTCCTAATAAGCAGGCAATTGTAGCTCCTTCCCTAAAGCCTTTCAAACTTCTTGCAAAGTTATTTTAGAAAACTATCACCTAGGCTTAGAAGTGAATAAGGGAAATGTAGTCCCCAGCCATATCCAAATTAATATAACACACTTTATTAACTTAAAACATTAGATCAAAATTCCAGCCATGAGGGCTGGGGTTGTGGCTCACTAGTCAAGTGCTTTCCTAGCGTGTATGAGACACTGGGTTCGATTCTCAGCACCACATATAAATAAATAAAATAAAGATCCATCAACAACTTAAAAAATTTAAATTAAAAAATATTCCAGTCATGAACAAACTTAAAGAATAAAACACAAAACAGCAATCAGATGAGACTATACTCTTTCAAGGCCTTTGTACTAATTAATTTCTACTAAAACTTTTTATTACACATGAAAAGCTTTTGATAGTAAACACTGATATTCTCAAAAACAGTTGGTATTCTTAGTTTAAAGGGAAGGGGGGGATTATTGGGTAGGCAACTTTCAGTATCCAGACAAAGACAAAGACGAAAACGAAGATGACGAAGAAGAAGATGAAGAAAATGATACCCATACTGTGAGTTCAAACTGTAACAAAAAAAAAACCCACCATTTTCCTGCCTGCAAAAAAAAAAAAAAAAATGCACTTGAGCCAGACTCAATGATATATACCTGCACTCCCAAACTTAGGAGGCTAAGGCAAAAGTCCAGGAGTTATAGGCCTGGACAACATACCCAGACCCTGTCTCAGAGGAGAAGCATACACACACATACACACACAATCTCCCAAGAGTCCAAAAGACTTTGTAATGGAAATAACATTTACATCTCAGCTAAAGAAACTCACCTCATACTCAAAAGTATGTCATAAAAGCTGAAAAGGGAAACATATAACCTTAAATCTTCCTATTAGAAAACATTGGAAATCAATGACCCTCTAGAAGTCCACTTTAATGAGGCACTGATCTTCTTTTCTAGCTCAAATTGTGAATTTTCTTATACAAGTTATGTTCAAAATCAAAAGGGTTTACCATATAGCTTACAAACACAGGGTTTCCCTCAGTTGTCCTCAACTCTTCAAAAGAATGAGTGATAATCTACTTTCTCACATTTATAGTGTCTCTACAGTATGAAACTTCACAAAATAAGACTTCACAAATTGCATTAGTTCAGAAAAAGCCTTGCAGAGATTCCCTTACTCCTTACATTTATATGTTGTCCCTTGTGTGAATTTTCACGTGTCTTCGAAAGTAGGCTGGACAAATAAAGGCTTTCCCACATTCCTTACATTCATATGGTTTCTCTCCAGTATGGCTTCTCACATGTCTCCGAAAGGATGAGGGACAACTGAAAGCTTTTCCACACTTCAGACATTCAAAGGGTTTTTCTCCAGTGTGCATTCTTGCATGTACAGTAAGGTATGAAGAATGTCGAAATGCCTTTCCACATTCCTTACATTCATAGGGTTTTTCCCCAGTGTGGGTTCTCATGTGGATACTAAGGGCTGAGAAATAAATAAAGGCTTTCCCACATTTTTTACATTCATAAGGTTTCTCTCCAGTGTGAGTTCTTCTATGTACCGTAAGATGGGAAGAACTAATGAAGGCTTTCCCACATTCCTTACACTCATAAGGCTTTTCTCCACTGTGAGTTCTTAGGTGTTCAGTGAGGGATGAGGAACGACTAAAGGCCTTCCCACACTCCTTACATTCATATTGCACCTTACCATTGTGATCTCTCACATGTGCTTTAAAGGATGAGGGACAACTGAAGGCCTTCCCACATTCCTTACATTCATAGGGTTTCTCTCTACTTTGATTTTTCACATGTGTGTTCAGGGAAGTGGGAAGATAGAAGGCTTTTCCACATTCCAGACATTCATAAGGTTTCTCTCCAGTGTGTTTTCTCATGTGGATACTTAAGGAGGAGGGGCAATTGTAGGCTTTCCCACATTCCTCACATTTATAGGGTTTCTCTCCGGTGTGTGTCCTCACATGTACAGTGAGTTTTGAGGATTCACTGAAGGCCTTCCCACACTCTTTACATTCATAAGGCTTCTCTCCTGTGTGAATTCTTATATGTATTATAAGATGAGAGGAAGAGCTAAAAGCCTTCCCACATTCCTTACATTCATATGGCTTATCTCCACTATGAATTCTTTTGTGTTTGGAGAGTGATGAGGAACAACTAAAGGCCTTCCCACATTCCTTACATTCATAGGGCTTATCTCCACTGTGAATTCTTTTGTGTTCTGTGAGGTATGAAGAGCTACTGAAGGTTTTCCCACATTCCTTACATTCATAGTTTGCCTTTTCACTATGAATTTTCATATGTGCTCTGAACATGGAGGAACAACTGAAGGCCTTTATACATTCCTTACATTCATATGGTTTTTCTTCAGTAGGAGTTTTCATATGCTTCTTAAAACAAGCAAGAAAATGGAAGGCTTTCCCACATTCCTTACACTGATAGGGTTTGTTTCCAGCATGAGATCTGGTGTGATTCTTAAGTGATGAATGAAACAGGAAGGACTTTCCACACTCACAGCATTCAAAGGATTTGACTTCAGTAGTTCTCTGGAGCATAAGATTTGAAATTTGTCCACATTGATTTTCTTCATTGTATTCACAGATGTTCTCTAACACATGACTTTTAAAAATAAAAGACAGATTATTAGTAATAAAATTTACCATTTTCAGTGAATATGTATGCTTTCTGCCCCATCAACTTATAAGCTGAAAGTTCTCAAGAAGGCTCTTCCACAGCCAACATTGTCACTGAGCTTTTGACTTGTATGATTTTTCTGATAAATCTGTCAAACCAATCTATGTGTCAAACCTTCAATATCTCAGTATCATTTGTAGGAAAAACTATCTAGACAAAATTCTTTGTGAAAGTACAATTTTTTTTTATTTTGAATTTGAATCGTTTTATTTCTTTTTTAATTTTATTTTTTATTTGCATGTATTCCATTAGTTATACATGACAGCAGAATGCATTTTGATACATCATACATAAATGGAGTATAATTTCTCATTCTTCTGGTTATACAGGATGTAGAGTTACACTGGTCATGTAATCATATATGCATGTGGGATAATAATGTCCAATTCATTCTACTATTATTCCCACACCCCCTGCCTTCCCCTCACTCCCCTCTTTCTAATCCAAAGTACCTCTATTCTTCCCAATCCACCCCCCATTGTGAATTAGCATCCACCTATTAAAGAAAACACTTGGCCTTTGGTTCTTTGCACCAGCTTCATCCATTTACTGGCAAATGTCATGATTTCATTCTTATGAAAGCATAATTTTTGACCTAGGTTTATGTTGAAAATATGTTTCTTTTTAAGAAATACTTTTAGTTGTAGATGGATGCAATATCTTTATTTCGTTTACTCATTTTTATGTGATGCTGAGGATCAAACCCAGTGCCTCACATGTGGGAGGCAAGCACTCTGCCTGCCACTGAGCCACAACCCCAGCCCCAAAATATGTTTCTTAAATCTCAAAATTGTTTCCTGATGCACTACCTTCTCTTATATGAAGGGCACTCACCTTAAACCTTTCTCATGGGTTTTGTTCCAATCATCCACACCATGGGAGTCCTGGTTTTCATGTAAAATAGAGGAGCAGGAACCATTTCTTTTGAACCTCTCTATTTTCTGTTCATTGGATATTTTTTCTCCATTGTTGTCTTGAAAAGCAACTAATTTCTTAGTATTAAGTAGAGACTCAAACCCTGAAACAAAAAAATAAAAGAAAAGAAAGTTACCTATGAGCAAAGGACTTTGAGCAGTGCAGCTGTTTCAGGACTTCATTATTAATAGGCACAAGGATTAAAAGTAAAACAGTTCACTAAAAAATATTTCCATGAAACCATAGTATGGTAACATTACCATAGTATGGTAACACATGCTTGTAATCTCAGCTACTTGGGAGGCTGAGATAGGAGGTTCACAAGTTCAAGGACAGCCTCAACAACTTAGACCCAGTCTCAAAATTAAAAAGGGTATGGGATATAGCTCAGTGGTAAAGCACTCCTGGGTTCCCCAGTGCTGAAAAATAAAAAATAGTTCTATGAAGAATGACAGTGATGGTAACATGACCAGAAGAAATTATTGGGACCAGAGACATGAAAAATTGGGCTTCATATGAATCAAAATGCATTCTGCTATCATGTATAACAAAGTAGAACAAATAAATAAATAAATAATTTTTTTTAAAAAGAGAGTTTACGTTAAAATTTTTCTGTTAACTTAATATTTCATATTAGTATAGAAAATATATTAAAAATTTTCATTAATAATTTTTAAAATATTATTAGGAGAGGAAAACAGAAAGGATAAAATACACATACCAAATACAAACTTTAAAAAAGCAAATATGGAGATCTTTGACAAGAACAAGGAAAGTATGAGAGGACAGATAAACAGTCAAAATAGTCCTCAGAGGCATCTGTGGATAATGAGCCTCCTCAGACAAAACAAACTTTTGCTTTATTTCTATTTTATTTTTTTCTCCACCCAGGCCAGTTTCTCCCAGGGATTCTTGCCTTCCTGGTGCTGCTCCATACAGATGCCCTGGATACGTTCTGTCTTCACTGTCTGCAGTTCCTCCTCTTGTTCCCACTTGGAGATCAGATTGGGAGTGAGTAGTGGGTACCCTGCACATGAAGAAAGGAATATCATGAGGGAAAGCAATGAAGAATCACAAATATCTTTCCATAAGATTGGGTCAAACTTTGGTCTTCGAATACTCTAAAGACAGAGAAGGATGAGTTTAACTGAAAAAAATGTCAAATCCATTGAAGAAGAAAAAAAGGCAAAGGAGGGAGGGAGAGGAAGGAAGGAAGAAAAGAAAAATAGAGAAGATAAAAGAAAAAGCTGAGAAGTGGATGTGGGGGAAAAGGCAACCTCTAATGTGAAGAATTGATCTAATCAGATATGGTGACACAAGCCTATAATCCCAGGGTGGGATTGGGAGGCTGGAGGATCATGAAGTCAAGGCCAACCTCAGCAACTTAGCAAGATCCTGTTTCAAAGCAAAGAAAAACAAAATTTTAAAGGATTGGGGATGTAGCTCCTGGTAAAGTGCCCCTAGGTGTTCAATTCCCAGCACAAAAAAAGACAAAGAAAAAAACACTGATCTGGGCTGGGATTGTAGTTCAGTGGTAGAGCACTTGCCTAGCATGTGCAAGGTGCTGAGATTGATCCTCAGCACCACATAAAAATAAATAAATAAATAAAGGTATAAAAAATTATATTTAAAAAAAAGAAAGATTGACCTACATTCACAGTGGAACCTCAATATTATTATAAGCTGATCTGACACAGCCATAATATATTAAAAAAAATATTTTTTTAGTTATAGTTGGACACAATACCTTTATTTTATCAGGTTGAACAGGGTTTCACCAAAAGTCATGTCCAAATATATCAATGGAACAGAATAGAGAGCACAGACACAGATCTACATAAGTAAAATTGGCCCTCTATATCTGTGAATTCAAGCAACCATGGATAGAAATTACAATAGGAAAAAAATTACATCTGTCTTAAACATGTATTTTTTTTGTGCTTATGTCCAAATCAATACAGTACAAAAGTAATTATGAATAAGATAGGATAGATAGTAAAACAGGCAGACCGTTAAGAAAATGCACTCCCACACACCAAAAAAAAAAGAGAGAGAGAGAGAGAGAGAGAAAGACTTTAAATGAAGAGGCTATTTCACAAAACTAACCTATAGAAAACATTCCAAACATTACAGCCAACTTCTTTGTCCCGGGTGGCAGGAAAAAGGAGGTAGAGCCGACCTGAGTGAAGACTACAGACTCAAGGCCTAACTAATCAGAATGTCACAGACCAAACCAAGAGCCTTGGCACTTTTCCAACACTTGTTTAGCATAGGTGTTGACCAATAGTATTGGCACTTTTTCAAGACATGATTAGCATAGATACTGACCAACACCCTTAGTATCTTTCCAAGACCTGATTAGCACAGATATTGATGAATGCCTCATCCAGTAGCTATTTAAGTCCCTAGACTAGTACACTTAAGTGGAAACCTACTCTCAGGTTCCCCTCTCAGCCCCTGAGAGTTCTGCTTCTTTTCTTTTCAGTTATATAAATACACCATCACTCTCAAATTCTGTTGTCTGTGGATTTGTCTTCAAATCTGTGAATAAGAACCTGGAAAAAAAATGGCAGCCAGCTGCTGAGGTCTGCCATTGACAGCTACAACACACTGCTCAGTAATAGTGAAGAAGAGTCAGGTTCTGCCAGCTCTGACCCATGGAGCTGACCAGACAGGCATTTCCCTGCTGTGATTAGTTGCAATACTAAAATGGGCTGGGCTCTCTTAGCCGCAGAGGCATGTAACTTATGCGGACCTACAGACCAGCAGAGTGGAGAATCTGGTTTCATTTCAAACTCCAGTTTCAATTACATAGCACTTACATTTTGTCAGGCACTAAACATAATCAAGAGATGATGTAAAGTATATGAGAGCTTAGGCTGTATACCAGGGAATTTTAATTAAGAGATTTTGACCATCCACAGATGTAGGTCTCTGGGAAGATACTAGTATCAAATCCCTACAGACCAAGCAAGAACTATGTAGTCAACTGACTTTTGACAAAGAATTGACAGCAACACAATAGAGAAAAGATAGCCTTTTCCACAAATGCTGTTAGAACACTGGACATACCCACATAAAATAATGAATCTATGCCCTTCACAAACATTAATTTAAGATGGATCATAGATCTAAATGTAAAACGTAAAACTAGAAAAATTGTACAAGATAGAAGGAGAAAATCTAGATGACTTTGGATTTGGCTATGACTTTTTTGATACTATATCAAAGGTATGATTGATGAGAAAGAGATTGATACAATACACCCCATTAAAATTAAAATTCCTGCTCTGTGAAAGATAATATCTAGAGAAAGAAAAGATAAGCTATGCCTAAAAGAAGACATTTGCAAGAAATTTCTCTGGTAAGAGACTGTTTCACAGAGATTTATCTGATAAGAAACTGTTTTCCTGTTCTTTACACAAAGAATGCTTTATATATATATATATATATATATATATATATATATATATATATACACACACACACACACACATACATACACACACTTCTTAGTTGCACACAATACCTTTTTTTGTTTATTTATTTTTAATGTGGTTCTGGGGATCGAATCAGGGCCTCGCACGTGTGAAGCGAGCGCTCTACCACTGAGCAACAACCCCAGCCCAGAATGCTTTTTTTTACATATTTTTATTAGTGTATTATCCCATACATAATATTGCAATTCATTTTGACACAACCATACATGCATGGAATTAATGTGTTCCATTTCAATTCCCAGTACTTCTCCTTTCCTTTCCCTCCTTCCTCCCCCTATCCCCTTCTCTCCTCTACTGGTCTTCCTTCTATTTACCTATTGTTTTAATTCCTGCTTTATAGATACACACAATAGTGAAAGTCACTGTGGTATATTCCTATATGTGCACTTTGCAGTCCCCTCTTTCCCTCTTCCTCCTTCCTTCCCATCTGCCCCCTACCTATCCTACCCTTTTGATTTTCATGGGCTCCCTCTGCCTGTTTCCCTCTTATTTTGCTCAAGCTTCCATACACAAGAGAAAACATTGGACCCTTGGCTTTCTAAATATGGCTTATTTCATTTAATATGATATTTTCCATTTCCATCTATTTACCAGCAAATGCCATAATTTCATTCTTCTTTATGGCAGAATAAAAACCCATGTGTCGAATGCTGCTGCCTCTGATTCTACTGCTGCCAGCCTGAGGTCACCTGGAGGTCTTCTTTCTGGGCTGCTACAGAAGCCAATGTTGTGCCCAGAGGTCTCTTTTCTGGGCACTGCCTGGTTACCCCTGACTCGATTCTGATGCTACCTCCATGGTCACTGCCACTGAACTGGAAGTCTCCTGTTACTCAACCGCCACCTGCACACTACCGCCATTGCTGCTGCCTCTGATTTCCCTGCTGCTAGACTGAGATCACCTGGAGGTGTTCTTTCTGGGTGCTGCTGCCACAGAAGAAACTGTGGATGCAACTGAAGCCCACATTGCTGCTGACCCCTGGAGATCACCTGGTGACGCTGCCCTCACAGCTGCAGTGGTAACTGCCAATGCAGCCACCACTACTGCTGCTACCACGGCCTAGAGGACTGCTGCAGGGGAGATTCCAGGTTTGGTTGCATGTGGCTGCACCCATTTTGGGATACCAGCCAGGGCCTGGGACCTGGGTGCCAGCAGGTTTACCACAACAAGATCCTCTGTCTGGGGACTCCAATCAGGACCTGAAGGTCCAGTGTTGGGGTACTGTGGGTTTGGAGGACCCTGGGGTTTTCCTGCTGAGAGTGCTAGTGGCCTGGGTATTGCTGCTGCATCTCTTGCTGTTGCTCGTTTGCATGAGTGTATTCCTGGTGGTCTCTCTGCAAGTAGGAGCAGCATTGAGATCTTGGGACTACAAATGGCAGAGCCTGAGGTATTTGAAACCCATATTTGTAGGCTAGAGTCTAGGTTTGCAAGGGCTGATCTGGGTTTGGTGATCCTGAGAGACGTCAGAGTCAGAGCTGACAAACTGTTGAACACTGACAGAGACAGTTCGACTTTTCAACAAGATTTATTTTATTTTTTGATTCACTAATCTCTCTACCATATTTGGAACAGGTGCCTTTTATCCTATTTTCTTTCCAACTTCTCTCCAATCAACAGCCTATCTCTGTCAGCTCCTCTTCCACTCTTCCTGTGAATTTTTACTTCTAGCTTCTCTCTTCCTCCCTCACAAATATTGCATACTACACTACTCTGTTCTCTCATCCACCCTTTGAAATTGTAAACCATTTTAACAAAATTTCTGTTTATACTATAGTAGTTATTAAATTCATCATTTTGGTTTAATGCGAGAAAGCAGTAGTTGCCTTAGTGGGAGCTATTAGGTTTAAGGCTACATATTATATGTTAAGTAATATTGATATTGGTCTCACCATTAAAGTGAAGCTCTGGAAACCTTCAGACACCTAGACACTATAAGTCTACAGGGTAGATTTTATGCTGCCTTAGATCCATAAAAATTTCTATACTTTTTACCCACCAGTTTGTGGTACTTGTTCATAGAGGGCCTAAGAAACCAATATAATCTACCCCATAGACTCATCTTTAAATCATCCCAAAAGCACGAATTCTCTAATAGGTACTTTCTAACACCCTCTTACGAAGATGCCCCTTGGCTCCCCATGGGTATGTTCTCCCATGACTGCAAAATAAACCCTGCTTGTTTAACTTACAGGTGTGCTCCTGGTGGTCTCTGGGTAAAGGCATTCACAGCAGTAGAATCTTCAAAGGTCTCAAATCACAAACTCTCCCTGTGCCCCAGAGAAGCCCCTCAATGCCCACACATTCAACACTTAATAAACCTCAAGGCTTTCAACCACAAAGAAAAAGAAAAAAACAAGTTTAATATGCCCGTGTTCATTTTCATGAAGAAGCCTCCAGATTGTAAGCACCCTGTGGTCAGTGACCACATTTGTCTTATTTGCCAAGCACTGCCACTCCTCAGCACAGATCATGGAACAAGGTCAACTAGTAGATAAAACTGTTTTCTAAACCACTACATGAACCAACGTTGCCAATCTTACCTAGTGAGACCAGGTTCTGGAAGGTTTCCAGCATCACATCTCTGTAGAGGCTCCTCTGAGCAAGATCCAGCAAAGCCCACTCCTGCTGGGTAAAGTCCACAGCCACATCCTCAAAGGTCACCGAGTCCTAAAAAATGCCACAAATTCTGTTTAGAAAGGTACAATTCCTCCAGTGTGTGTGAGATGGTGGGTGAGGCTGACAGCACTGGGGACCTGAGAATCAATTCAGGGGAGGTTCAGAAGATTCTGTGGTGTCCCCAAGTCTATGGCAGGACTCAGTCAGCAGATCTCTTTCCCTTTCTACCCACACATACTTAGTGACTGAATAAATCCTGTCTAAAGCCAAAATACTTCTAAAATACTACATTAGTCTCTTTGCAGTTGATAGTAATGAAATAAGAAAAAAAAATCAAAGTTATTTTCCTTCGAACCTGCAAAGAACACTGGATATTAGGTAGGTGGGTAATTTTCCACACACATCAAGCAGTTCTCCAACAGACACTAGCTAGGTTTCCTGTTATTCAATAACATTCTTACACTATCTACATGGAGAGCTTCATCCCACAGGTTGAGGGCTCAGTCCCACAAAACTTCCCCATACTTCAAACAACATAACAACTAGTACATTGTCATTTATACTTCTGACCAAATGGCTACATCTCAGGGTCCCCACTGTACCCTCCTTGAGTTGGCTAATATGCTGGGATGGCTTACAGAATCTAAGCAAACATTTCCTTGGGATTATAGTTTGTTATAAATACAGAGAACTATCCAGATAAAGAAATATATATGGCATAGCAAGGTAGGAAAAGCTGCAGAACTTCTATGCCTATTGGGGAGCCTCGTACCAGGAACCTCTACATATTCAGCTATACAGAAGCTCCCTAAATTCATTCTTTTTGGGTTCTCACAGAGGCTTTACTAGAAAGCATGACTAATTTAAATTAGCAATTTAAATAATCAATTTAACCTTCAGTACCTCTCAACTTCAAGGTTAGTGGATAGGGCTGAAGAGTCAAGCATATCTTAGTTCTTCTGGACCAGCAGTCATCCTGAGGCTATCTGTCCTGGTCACCAGTCATCATACAAAGCTACTCTTATCAGTCCAGACATTTGAAGGGTTTTAGGAACTCTATGCCAGGATATGGGACCAAGACCACATATTGGACAATATCATATTATTCCTTATTCAGAAATTCTTCCTTATTCAAGAATAACTTCACCTGCTACTTTATTCCTATTAAGGCACTGAGCACAACATCAAACTCAGGTTTAAATCTTGATGAGGTTTTAATGAATGAAAACACAGAGAGTGAATGGGAACTTTTCCATTTTCCCCTCTCACAATCCTGAGAGGCCCAAGAGCCTGCACATCTTTCAAGTCAGGCACACAGCTGGCTCTGTTTTATAGTATTGTGGCCTGGGCTCACCAAACTATAGCACATGCACTTACTCTAGCCTATCACCTACTTATGTAAGTAAAGTTTTATTGCAATACAATAAAACATTTTTTATGTTCCTCTATGAATATTTTTTGTATTAAAATGACCATTTCCTTGTAATAGAAATTCTATGACCTTCAAAACCTAAAATACTTACCATGTGATACAAAAAAAAAGAAGCAGATTGCTAACCTATGCTCTAAAATAGCAGCAGGATATCAAATGAAATAGAAATATTCTTTTAGAGCATTATACCTTTTACTTACCTGCATCATACTTTTCTGTAACCCAACACTTATTCTTTCTTCATCCATGTCACCTTCATAAAGAAAAGTAAGACATTGAGAAGTTATAGGTAAGACAGGAGCTGACATGGGAATCCAACCCTTCAGAGAATTCCCATACTCATGAGCCTGGATATTGCAGCACATCCATTACCAGTGACAACTCAAAACACATACCATGACTCCTAAGTAAATACAAACTGAACTTGTGTGACACTGGAACAATCCTTTCTTCCCTAGAGATACAAAACAACACTCTTATCCTTGTTAATGATACAAAAGAGGTTAATAGTAACACTTTATTAGTAAATTAACTCAAGTCTGAAGAACATCTGGCTGTCCATTTCCCCATGATAACAAAAAGCATAAAATGTATCAAGTGGTGCCTTCAATCCTAAAAATATATAATCCCTGACTCATATCTAAGAAAGCACTAATTTACTTAAACACTAGGCTTCTTGGGGCTCCTTGACCAACATTTTTACTTGTTTACCATTTTACACGATAATAGGCATTACTACAAAGCCCTGAACACTGCTGTCATCCCAACCCCACCCAATGGGCCCCACAAAACCTAATTTCTGAGAAAGAGAATCAACCTATTCGTTATGGTTTGAATCTGGGATGTCTTTCTTTTTTTTAAATTCTCTGGTTTCTTTTTTTTTTTTTTTTTTAAAGAGAGAGTGAGAGAGAGAGGGAGAAAGAGAGAGAATTTTTTAATATTTATTTTTTAGTTTTGGGAGGACACAACATCTTTGTTTGTATGTGGTGCTGAGGATTGAACCTGGGCGGCACCCCACGCATGGCCCGTGAGCGCGCTACAGCTTGAGCCACATCCCCAGCCCTGGGATGTCTTTCAAAGCCTCGTGTGTTGAAGGCTTGGTCTCCAGTGCTGCAGTGTTCAGAGTTTGGATTGGGGGAAGCGATTGGATTATAAGGGGTCTGACTTCATCAGTGGATTAATCCATTTTATGGATTAAGAATTTGAATGGACTACTGGGAGGTAACAGGAACTACAAGAGGTAGAATCTAGAAGAGATGAGAAAGAGAAAAAGGAAGAAGTAGTGGAGGTGGTGGAGGTGGTGGTGGTGGTTGGTGGTGACAGTAGTGGTAGAAGAGGGGGAGGAGGAAGAAGAAAATTTCATTGTATCCAGTCATTAAAAGAATCATATTAAAACATGCACAAGGAAACAGAAGTTGCAAATAGTTTTACAGAAAGTTTCACAAAATAAGTAGGAAATTCATAATTCCAGTGTAGAGAGGGAAGATAATTATCTACTTCCAACACCAGAAGGGTACAACTAAAAAATATGCCAGATCACATACAAAGTACAAATAATACAAAAGCGTTGGTAACAGTTGAAAAATGAACAATAAGTATAAATCACAATTTAAGTTCATTTCATGCTAGGAATGACGGATGCTTAAAAACTGAATCACTAAAAAAAGAAAAAAAGAAAAAAACTGAATCACTGGGACTCAGTGGTACAGTGCCTTACTAGCGTTGAGTCCTTGGATTCAATCCCAGCACCACAAGAATAAAATAAACAAAAATTGAATCACTGATTAATGAAATTCACAGTATTCATAGAAAGGTTATTTGACATATTCCCTTAGACACAAAGCAATGACTAATCTATTTCAGTGTACATTGCTAATAATAACTTAGGCCATTAGAAAGGATTAGATTTTATACATTAAAAAATGCAAATATTCTATTTAATAGTGAAATACTGATTAATGTTCTCTGAAATCAGGAACAAAGCAAGAATGAAAATTATATGCTAATCTCCATTCAGCTGCGAGTCCTGGCAAGTGCAGTAATTAGAAACAAAAAAAAATGGAAAACACAAAGATTTAGGAGGAAAAAAAATTCAAACTGGCACATTTTCTGTGCAAAATTTGAAGAATCTATAAATAAGTGACCAAGCTTTTTTTTTTTTTTTTTTTTTTTTTTTCTCCCTGCATTTTGCAGTACTAGGGATTGAAGCCAGGGGCACTCTCCCTGGTCCTTCTAATATTTTGTGTAGAGATAGGGCCTGCCTAAATTGCTCAGGCTGCCCTTGAACTTGAGATCAAGTTCTACCTCAGCCCCTAGTAGCTGGGATTACAGGCGTACACCTCCGCGCCAGGCTAAAATGTATCGCTTTATTAAGGATGAAATGCACTTGCCCAGGAGGCGGGTTAACAGTATTTTAAAATCAGCTCCCTCTTGTGTATCTGAATGCAATGTGTCAAACATGCCCCAGGCCCCGGGGAACTCTCAGACCCGCGCTCGGCAGTGCGCGAGGCCCAGGGGCAGCGGGCCGAGCTCACCCCACACTGGGTGTGTGCAGACCAGCAGACCCGCACGAGGCTCCGGACCCGGGACCCAGACGCAGGCGAGGCCTCTGCTCTCGGCAGGGAGAGGTCGCGGGGCTTTCCAGCTCCGGCCTGCAGGAGACCCGCCCGCCGCTGGCGCAGCCCGGAGTCCCCGCTGCGGTCACCAGGACGAGCGCTGCGCCGGCGGAGCCGACAGGGCTCTGGGCCACGCGGCTGAAGGGGGCCCTGGGACGGCGGAGAAGCGGAAGCCAGCCTTCCGCCTCCCGCGGCCCATACCTGGATGGCGAGGGGCCAGGACGGATAGGATGCGGACTGAGGAAAGAATATATCTCAGACGCGGGCTGCAGCGTAAAGTGTCATGGCGGCCACAGGCACACAGTGACAGGGCAGCTACCTCGCGCGTGCGCAGACGCGCCCGCTAACCACCTCCCCATCCTGAGAAACGCTCTGCGTAAGGGGCGGGGCTTCGGTAGCTGGGCGTGGCGCGGAGCTGCCGCTCAGTCCATCAGCGCACGGAACGAGCGAATTTCTACTGGGGTTTGTAGGTAAAAAGAGAACCAGAACCGTGGACGAGGCTGGGGAGGGACCAGGCTAGGCCGGCCCAGTGGACTCAGATGAGACCAGATCAAGGGGCGTGGCTTTTAATATTCCAGAGGTTGGGTCTAAGATGGGACCTGGTTGCCAAGCGAGACCCCTGGAAGTTCCTAGAGGCGGGGCTAAGGTTAGAACCTGTCACACAGGTTCCCTGAGGCCTGGGAGTATCATGCTCATCAAATGCGTTAATACCCTTGCTAGAGCCCTGTCCACAGGCCATCATACTTAAAACTCTGAGTCTACCTACCTGTGCGATGAACTCTTTTCCATTGATTCAGTCCTTTAGGTCTTTATTTTTCCCTTTCATTGTTTTATTGATTCTTGCTCTGCTAGAGGAAAGCTATTGAAAAGTATTTAATTAGGTCCTTCTGTCTGGAAACCTTGCTGAACCTTAATATCTGTAGTTCGTTATTTTGGACTTAAATATAAATAATATTTCCTGTGCATTTTTGTTATTATAATATTCATAAGTCATTTATTTTTCTTCTTGTTTGTGCAGGGTCTCCTAACTATAAGTCAGATAAGAAATAAGGTATTCATTTCTTGGTTAATAATAATCACCAAGGTTCCCATGTTAGCTGTAGTTTGTGGCTTTTATCAAGTCCTGTTTTGAATCTGCTTTGTGAAGACATTTTATCAGTAGTTTTGATAAATATTATACAATGTATATGAAACTATTAAGTTCATAATAGTTTACTCCAACTTGATTTATGATGTCATGTCTGTAAGAAACAGACTCTCCTGTCCAAACCTAAAGAAGAGATTAAGAAACAAAAGGCATAGCCAAAAAAAGCAAGGAATGTGTTTTTCCTGTCCCCCGAGGCCAGGTAGGGCTGAAGGCAGATTGCTTTTTAGCAAAGAAAGCATGTGGAGAATCAGTACAGTGAACTCATTTTATAGAATTATTCTCTGAACCTTGTGTTCCCACCATCTTCATCTATTTGTCCCCTTACACCTTACATCTAAATCTGTCTCCTTGATATAGGACAGATGTGGCTGGACACCAGAAATCAGGTTTATTTTAGCTGCAGCAGTCCAGAGGAGGCTAATGCCTAAAAAGCTTTGGACCCTGAATCTGAAAATTCTTTTAGACTTATACTCAGTGGGGTGGTTACATGTCACTGGGTGGGTACATAACAGTGACTCTTTGTCCCACATTTTTAGGCTAGACAGAGGTTTCACAAATTTTGTCTGCAAACCTGGCATTTATAAGAAAGAGGAAGCTACAAACCACAGAAATTTTTGCTGATATCCTATTGACACCCTTGGTAAAATTCTTTCTGACAAGGAAAGAAGCTTAACTGTGGCAATGGTCTTTTGGATGGGGGTGACTGGTCTGCTTCACCCTTACAAAGCAGTAAAGAAAATTTTTTTTTCAATGCTAGGGATTGGACCAATGTGTTGCACATGCTAGGCAAGTGTTCTACCACTAAGCTATACCCCTACCCCAGAATAAATTTTATTTAGGACAATTGCAGTAGGGGAGTAGAGACCTCAGTATAGAACTGGACTCAATTCTGAATACAGCATGGATAATTGGAAATTTATATGCCAAGGAACATGGTGGTGGTTCTAGGTAGACATGAGCAGTGGAAACAGGGTGTTTAAAGGGTTAATTCTATGTATAAGTGAAGAATATGGAAAACAACATCTCCCTAGAAAAGGGAAATGACAACCCCCAGGGCTGAGGGAGGACAATGGGTCCTGGGAGAGAAAAGGCAAACAAAGTGCCTTGTGCTCTCTCTGGTCTTTCCTCCTTTCCCAGTATCCTGGAGGGGAAGGCAAACAAATGGGCTCTGGGCTCTGGATTATTATCCCAGTAACAATGAGTTTCAAGCTTTTACAACTGTTTTCCTGACTTAGATTTTTAACCTGCACAACTAGTTTCCTGACTGTCCAACCAACATGTCCCAAGTCTCTGATGATTAAGTCACACAAAATCTTCTGCAATGATTAACTCTCATTAAGATCTATAAAAAACAGACCTCTTTTTTAACCAGTCACCATTTTCTCCCCTGAAAATGTGCCATTCCACTACTGCTTAATAAAGACAGCTTGCTGAGCTGAGGTCCACTCCTGTTTTCAGTTATTTTTGCTTACATGAGCCTACATGCTAACTCTCAGCATGTCTTTGAAACAATTCACACAAGGCCATTCTAACTCAGCTGTGTTTTAAAAATAATAACAGTATTTGGGCTGGGGCTGTGGCTCAGTGGTAAAGCTCTTGCCTAGCATGTGTGAGGCACTGGGTTCAATTCTCAGCCCCACATAAAAATAAATGTGAAAAATACAATCTGTTAATAAAAAGATAACAGTATTTACAATCCTTGACTAAGGAGCTTATTGTTTTCAGGATGTTCTGGTCCTTGTCCTGATAGGCTATGATTCTGCCTATCGGGGAACAGAGGGTTTTAAAAGAGGTGATTCAAAGGCTACTATCCACATTTACCCTGATGTAATTCATTTGTTAATTTGAGAGATAACCATTTCTTAAATCTTCTGGTTCCATCCCCAGAGATCTATTTACTTCATTCCTGTGATTGATGTGTGCTCAAGGACAGATAACTGGGCCTAGCATAGGAAAAGGGTAAACCTGTTTCCCCAGAAGTTAGGAAAGGGAAAAGGGAGAAGAGAAAAAAAAAGAAAGTCAGCTTTCCCTGGCCAGATAATGACCCTCTTGGAAGCTGTAATGGCGCCTCATAAATTCTGATGTTGGGATCTAAATTTACTCCCTAAGTGCTGGACCATTAAATCTACTACCTACCTTTGTGTTATGCTTATAAAAACCTGTTATCTGTAAGTTCTCAAGACACCTCCTCTTTTTGCAACTTTCTGTGCTATAAAGCTACACTCCTAGAGAGCTGGATGGCTGTCTACTATTCCCATGGGTTTTGGCCTGTCAGAATTACAAGCTTGCTTTAATTTGATTTAAATTGGAGTTGATGGTCTTTTCTTTGCGTTGTGGTTTAACACTTAGGTGGGATTCTCTAGAAACCTTCCCTTCTGTCCTAATAAAGTGAGTTGTCACTCTCCTGAGAGAAAGCACTCTCTCCTGTGAGGGTATTTTCCCCTTCTTTCTCTTCTAATAAATTCTGCTATTCTTTTACTAAGTTTCACGTCTTGCTTGAAATCTTCTGGTGCAAAGACACTAAAGACAAAGAATACATGGATTTCCAGAAATATCTTATCTCAGATATCATCTTATCTCCTTAGCAGTTGGTTGTGTGGAGGGGAAGTCAGAAAGGAATATACTAAGAGGAAACTATCACAGATAAAAGGGGAATTTTTGTTCAACCAACCTAACAGATTTCTTGCTAAACATAGGCCAAAGTGATCATACATCACCAGAATGTTAAAAGCTAAGAACCTGATTAGATATTGTTAAATTAAGTTTGGCTTCAAACAGCCCCTGTGAAGTGGATTGTAGCTTGATGTGTAAGCAATTTGGATCTAACCTTAGCAACCGGAGTCTCATCGAATCACAGTAATCAAGTTTCAGCCAGCCACAGGCTGCCACCTGGTCAGCCCATGCTCATGTAAAGCAGATGCTTCAACAACCAAGTGCATATAAGGCAAATGCTAACTGCAGCCAATCAGGTTGTTTCTGCATTTCACTTCCTTTTCTTCAGCTAAATAAAAATAAATAAATAAATATAGTGGGCAGACTTGGTTGGGGCACTCTGAATTATAACCTAATGTAATAGGTTCTTTTCTTGATCAATGTGGACCCAGTGAGCACAACCAGAGGTAATGAATAGAGAAAGCTGGCTCGTGTGGTACATGCCTGTAATCCCAGTAGCTCAGGAGACTGAGGCAGGAGGATTGAAGTTCAAAGCCAGCCTCAGCAATTTAGTGAGATCCTAAGCAATTCAGCAAGACACTGTCTCTAAATAAAATATTAAAAAGGGTTGGGGTTGTGGCCAATGGTTAAGTGCCCCTGGGTTTAATCCCTAGTACCCAAAGAAAAAAATAGAGAAGGATTTGTTACCCTCAGTGAGGAATGAAAGCACTGTAGTTATTTGCAAAGCAATGCTCTCCCTGAGGAAAGGAAGTATGTGCATTTTATTTTGTGAACCTATATATATTTATACAGACAATCGCATGTAGGGGTGGGCACATTTCTGAGCATGCTCAACTGGAAGGAAGGATGGCAGACATTGGCGTTTCTGGGTCTACTCAGTTCAGTATTACAGTGAGCCAAGTTTACTGCTGGGTGCCTAAAAGAATGACTGACGTGGTCACCTTGGCTGGTTCTTAGTAAGTTTCTCCAGAAAGTTTTAGCTGAAACAAAAAAGGACGCTTTGGTAAAAAGGTGCGAACCTCGCTTAGCGTCTAACAGAACCATCTTCAATCTGGAACACCGCCTGTGGGTTTTAGAGCCTTTTTGTTTCTCAAATAAACTTCATTTTCAGATTTTTCTTTAATATCAACGATGATCAGATAGAGGACTGGGAGGAAGGAGTTCTGGATAAACTGACTTAACAGCCTTCTTGCTAAAATCGGGTTTCACAAGGAGTTGTGCCGGTGAACTTCAGAAAGGTTCAAGAGCCTGACTGAAGTTTGATCATACCAAGAATCATTATGGTTAGTATATAAGGACAGGGTCAGGATTCAAACCAAGACAGAGGGGTTTTCATGCTACGTAGGTGCTAATTTTTTGACAGTTCTCAAGCAAAAGGTTCACGCTGGTATCTGGGTGTCAAATGACCCCAAAATCAGGTGTTCGCCCTCCTGGCCAAGCCAAACCTCGTCTTTGCTGACAACAAAGACTGGACTGAAAGAGAGGGAAGTCGACCCTCTGCCAGCCCATCCTCTGGAGCCACGCCCCCTGCAGAACTTGCGCGTCTGCGCGTGCGCCACCCGCCTGGCAACCTTCTTGACCGCAGGCTCCCTCCCGCATTGGAGGCAAGTTTCTCTCTCAGAGCTCTCAAAGTCTGACCCTGCCGGGAGAGGTCACCTGGGAGTGGGAGGGTCTAAAAGAGAGGTGCTGCGTGCTCCGGCCTCCCGTGGGCTCTCGGGAGCCACAATTCCCACTGTCTCCGAGAGCCCTGGCCGGCTGCTCCTGCCTGAGTGTAAGCGGCCGCTGGGGTGCTTGGGTCCCCAGGCGCGGGCGGGTTCGCGCGCTCTGCCAGGCGCTGTGCTCACTGTTCGGAAGCCTCCTCAGTAATATCCCTGCCGACCAGGCCACGGTGACTCCGGCTCTGGCTGCCTCCTGGCCTCACCAGCCTGGCATTTAGTGTCTCGGTGAGCGTTTGGAATTGTTCTGGTTGTGGGTGTCGGTTCTGGACGGGGGAAAGGGAGACGTGCTGAGGTTGTGAGGGAGCGCGTGGATCAGATCACCATGGACAGTGTGGGTGGAATGCTTATAAATAAACCCAGGATGGCCGCCCAGAAGAGCAGGCCTACACTGCTCCCAAATCATCACCTCTGTCCCAGTTCAGAGCCTGTATATTCCCTAGAGCCTTTTTTGGTGGTCGTGTGTCAGGAGTGGAACTCAGGTCCTTACGCAGCTAGGCCAGCTCTCTACCACCGGGCTATGCCCAGCTCACCCCTTGGGCTTTAAAATGGAGGAGTGTCTAGGAAGACGGGAGTTCTAGATACCGTGACTTAACAGGGTTCTTGCTAAAACTGGGTTTCACAAGGAGCTGTGCAGGTGAGCTTCAGAAAAGGTTCAAGAACCTGAATGAAGTTCGATCATGCAAGGAATTATTGTGGTTAGTATATAAGGACAGGGTCAGAATTCAAACCAAGAAATAGAGGGTTTTCATGCTACCTGGGTGCTAATTTTTTGATGACTCTCAAGCAAAAACGGCACGCCAGTCTCTGGATGTCAAACATCCCCAAATCACATGTTAGGTCATTAATCCTTCCAATCTGTGAATCCAGAATATTTTTACATTTATATCTGTCTTCTTCAACATTGTATATTTGCAGTGTACAGGCTTTTGACCATCTTCGTTAAATTTAGTCCGAAGTATTTCATTGTTTTTGATTCTCTTGAAATGGGATTGTTTTCTTAATTTCTGTTTTGGATAGTTCATTATTAGTTATAGAAACCCAATTGATTTATTTATTTACTTGTGTGTGTGTGTGTGTGTGTGTGTGTGTGTGTGGTGGTGGTGGTGGTGGTGGTGATAGTTCTGGGGGTTGAACCCACGGCATTGTGCATGAAGGTAAACACTCTACCAACTGAGCTATATCCCCAACCCACCCCAGTTGATTTTTATGTATTAATTTTTGGTCTTGCAGTAGTGAATAGTTGGTTTGGTTTTTTATTTTGTTTTGTTTTGTTTTTTTTGGTAGGTTCTTTAAGGATAGATTATATCTGGTTGTGTTAATCACCTTTTTGTCAGTGTGACCAAAACACTTGACAAGAATAATTTAGAGGAAAAGTTTAATTTGGGCTCAGAGTTTCAGAAGTTCAGTCCATGGTCAGTCCACCCATTGCTCTGAGCCAGAGGAGAGAGAGCATCATGGCAAAAGGACGGGGTGGGGGAAAGTTGCCAGGAAATGGAGAGATTAAAGAGCCAGGGTCAAAATATAATCCCAAAGGCACACCCCCAGAGATCTACTTCCTCCAGCCACACCCCATTTGCCTATAGTTACCACCTACTATTCCATTCAAATTACTAATGCATCAAATTGATTAATCCACTGATGAGGTGACAGCCCTCATAATCTAATCATTTCACTGCTGAATATTCTTTCATTAACACAACAACTTTAGGGGGACACCTCATGTTCAAACCATAACGATAATAACTTATGCTGCTACTGTTTCTGGCACACACATCACAGGCTGCTCAGCATTTTAAGGCAACTTAGAATTTGAGTCCACTTAGAATTTGTATGAAGTGCCTTCCAGGCTTGTGAGTATGGAAACTGTGGGCATCCTGGGTTCTCAAGTTTTATTTCCTCTTCTCAGGATCTTCAAGGCTTTTTATGTCTTCATGAGGCAAAATCAGAAGAAGAAAATATGGTGACTGAGTGGCTGACAAATCATTCTCAGGTAAGTAGGAAATTGACTTTTCTATGGAAAAGTATGCTGCTTCCTATCAAGTAACTGTATTTCCCCTGAGTGGAAGAGTTTCTTCAAACAAATAGGACTTAGGGACTAAGTTTCCAGTGAGATTTCCTCAAGTTATAGCCTCTCATGTGGTTAACAGATTACATAGGGAAGTGATGCCGTTTTTCCAATACTAATTCATTCTGAATTTCATTTATGTTTTTCATTCTTTGATTTTACTATGGTAGACTGCAAAGGAGAGAATTAACATGTACTTCTCTCAGAGAATTTTATGCTATCATTTAAGCATTTATTTGAGTGCCTATAATGTGTTCAAGACTACATTAAAACCTGTTAGTAGAGAAAAATAAGGCCAAAATGGATCACAGTCTATTGTGGTAAGATATAGTCAGGTGAAAGAGATGCCCATGTGACTAAATTAGGTCACCACTAAATATGAACAGATAGAAAAGAGAAGAGCAGTGAAGACCATGGAACCTATTCAAAGCATTGGGTCCCTCATTCTTCTCCAAATGACATAGTGGGGATGCTCCTTGTCTCACACCAGTGTGTTTATGATGGTTTAGGACTTAGTGTCCTTTGAGGATATGAACTTGACCCAGGAGGAATGGACTTTGCTGGACCAGACTCAGAGAAACTTATACAGAGATGCGATGCTGGAGAACTACAAGAATCTAATTCCATTTGGTAAGGTTGGTACCATTTCTTCAATTTAGTTTTTCCTGAATAAATATTAAGTATCATATTCTAGGGTCTGCATATTAATAGCAATGCAATCATAAACAAACCAAAGGTGTTCCTTTCAAGACTTACTGTCTAGTGACTTTCTCATAAGAAATGGAATTCTGTTTGTTGTACTGTCTTTGTTTTCTCCATGGATAAAAGGCTTCATAACTGTACAAGCTTAAGCCAGTGTTTCAGAGGAAAGATCACTGTTCTTTTGTTACACAATGAAAGAGAAAGATAAACTGTTTGTATTTGCAGTTCACTTGAAAGCTCACTGGCTGACTACTTGGAGCATAAAGATTATGTTATTTCTCAAGTTATGCCTGACAATGGTCAGAATGCCAGAAAAACAGAATCTTGGCCTTTGGTTTATGGAAATATTTGTCATCCCTTGCACATTCTTCTTACATCATGCCTCTTTCCCTAAGAGCAGTGAACCAGCCACGTATAGACCTGGTCTGACTTTTCATGTAGTACAAGAAGAGCTAAGGACAATGGAGAAAGTTCTCCAAGGTGAGATAAAAGGAAGATGTGATTCTTTATGAGAAACAGCCATTATCTATAAGATGTACAGTACATTTGGAAATCTTAAGTAGAAAGCTTTTGAAGATACACTTTTTTCCTGAGAATATTGAGTCCATTTGGTTTCTGAGGTTGCTTGGGTAACTTCCATCACTTTCCATCCATCTTTAAAACATTTGATCTGTCAGTAAGATGAAAGAAATTTATCATTTGCACTTAGCTCTTTGTCCATTTCTTTTCAACTTAGTTTCCCTGATTATGCCTGTTACTGTTTTATTATCGATTTTAGTGTTTAGGGGACTGGATAAAAGACTTTGGGTTTCATGTATGCCTAGCATACATGAAGCCCTGAGTTTAATCCCCAGCATCAAAAAAATTAAAAAATTACCAATCTTATTTTTAGGGAATTATTTCTTCATAATCTACCAATTTGACCACAGACCTTATTATTTCCAAACTCTTAAAACAGCCAAATCTCTCAATCTGTTTTTTTTTTTTTGGGGGAGGGGGGTGTGTTTAAGAGAAAACTTTATTTCAGGTCAGTTTTTGAAAGTATATATGCATTGAGTGGTCTTGCATTTTTAACATCTTCCTTCCATTATTTATATCTCCAAGAACTTAATTTTTTTTTCATCTTAAAATTATGTGCCTTCTTGCGGGACACGGCAGTGCATGCCTATAATCCCAGCGGCTCAGGAGGCTGAGGCAGGAGGATCGCACATTCAAAGCCAGCCTTAGTAATGGTGAGGTGCTGAGTGAGACCCTGTCTCTAAATAAAATACAAAATAGGGTTTGGGATTGGCTCAGTGATTGATTGCCCCTGAGTTCAATCTGTGGTACCTCCCCCCCAAAAAAATTATATGCCTTCTTGATTGAGAGCCTCCCATTTGTTTTCCCTAGGCCAGTGTCCTGAAATGTTCAAATCTGTCTTTCTTCTTCCAATTCCATAGGGTCAAGCTGGCCTACACAAAGCTCTTGGATTCACTGTTTTCTGTGGTGCAATTAGGGAGCAAACTATGTTCAACATATCCATAATCGGTTTTTTTTTTCTCCAGCAGTGTGCTGAAACTTCTCTGCTGGCCTCCTAGACTACCATGAGGTATTCTCATGATAGATAGTTAAGCTAAGTGTGTCAAGAAATATGCACAAAAGTAGGATTTCTCAGGAGATAATATATACTCAGGTACAGGCACCTGCAGTCAAGGCCTGGGAGGTGGGCTCTGAATGAAGGAGATCTGATTTCAAATCCCAGCTCTGCTGTCAGGTTTGGCAGCATTAAATTTTGATGACTTCCGTTATACAGCTAAGTGTGATGAACATTGTTCTGTAGTATGATCCTTTTATTATTAAATGAAAATATATTCACCTAAAAGGAAATACAGGCAAATGATAATTTCTAATTTCTACCAACCTCTGTGGATTGCCAGTTATTGAACTGAGTAATTGACGTATATTAACTAGTCAGTCCAACCCTAAGAGGTATGTCCCATTTTAAAGATGTTTAAACCAAGGGTGTGGTACAAAATACTTTAGATCTACCTTGAAGATTTGTTGTTCTGTATAGTTCTCGGCTGTTTCCCCGGTAAGTCCTGATTTCTGCATGAGTAAGTGGCATTTAGAGACAGTTTGACACTATAAAGATATACTGCTCCTTAACTGTTACTGACTACAAGCCTTTGCAGTGGTTCAGGCCAGAAAGAAGTTCAAAAAGAAAAATTAGTAAGTACATATTATGTAAGAATTATACTATGTTCTTGCATAGGAAAACAAATCTTAACTCTTATATAAATATAAGGAAGCTTCTGTGTCTATAGGTGTTGAATATGAACATCTTTCTTCTCTTTTAGCTCTGTTTGCTTAGGACCATGTCCAGCTAGGGCAGAAATATCCAAGAGAAAGAATGGCTGCAGGATTGCTGCCAGCTTGGTCACAGGTATGTAGGAAATAATTCAGTTTCTGATAAAATGTTACTGTGCTTTAAGCACATCTCTTATGCATGATTTGCAGTTTTACACCCCAGGTGTGGCTGACCCAGTCCTCTCCCCATTATGTGGGCTTTTTAAGAGGGAATGTCAGGAAAAGCTACTACATTTCTAAATTTTTTTTTTTTTTTTGGTTTCTCATCCAGATGAAGTATGAATTCTGGATTCCATACTCTGCTGAGTCTATGGGAAAAATTCCACTAGGAAAACAACCATTATTAATTTCTCAGGTATTTTATTCCTGCAGCCTGCCCTATCTATGTAGGATCTAAGTAAGACAAAGAGTCCACACAACCTAATTGTGCAAAGATCAGGTCAACCATGTCTTTAAAAACCTGCTAAAGCTATAAGCCTGGATGAGATGGCCCAGGGGATGAAGATTTAATGAGAACTGAGCCTTGGGGCTATAACAGAAGACCTCAGACACTTGTCCTGGCTTTCAATGCCTTGGATCCCTTTCCAGTCCTGTCAGCTTCACCCATCTTCCCCAGCTTATTGTTGAAGATAAGTCATTGGCTGAGCCAGATTGTGTATATGATGTTTTAGAATTCAGTGACCTTCCAGGAAGTGGCAGTGGACTTCTCTCAGGAAGAGTGGGCATTGCTGGACCCTGCTCAAAAAATTTTATACAGAGATGTGATGCTGGAGAACTTTAGGAACCTGGCCTCAGTGGGTAAGGCTTGTGCAATTCATTTATTCATTTGTTCACAAAGCAAGTAGTTCTTAAGCACTTATTGCATTATAGTCTGTGAAAAGAATGGAATGGATGGTCCTCTCATTAAAAGCTTTAGGTAATTTGTAGTCTGTGTATGATCTTGAACCTGAGTTTCAAAGGTCACTTTCCTATGGGGCACAGAGTGTTTCCTTCTTGGGCCTTGTGAAGGAGCTCTACTCTGATTATTACTGCTCCTAAAGCTGAACTTAACCATCTTCAGCCTCCTTTGAGGCCAAAGTATAGAATCAGTTTTGTGGAAAGTCTTCTTGTCTCCTAACAGTCCTCCCGCGTCATATGTCTTTCCTCGCATATAGGGTATCACCTCTGCAAACACAGTCTCATCTCCAAGGTAGAACAAGAAGAGCTGAGGACAGAGGAGAAAGGAATATTCCAAAGCACCTTTGAAGGTGAGTCTTGGGCAGAAAGGAGTTACTGCATAGAACAGTCTTGACTAGTGAGATTTGGGAATAAATCAGTGCAGGGGAAAAAAGGGTGAAGCCATTACTGATTTTCTTTTTATCAGTCCCTTCATTCATACTTTCATTAGGTCTTAGAGGAAGAACTGTTTTATTTATTTATTTACTTATTTTAATTTTTATTGTTGGTTGTTCAAAACATTACAAATTTCTTGATATATCATATTTCACACTTTGATTCAAGTGGGTTATGAACTCCCATTTTTACCCCGTATACAGATTGCAGAATCACATCGGTTACACATCCACTGATTTACATATTGCCATACTAGTGTCTGTTGTATTCTGCTGCCTTTCTTATCCTCTACTATCCCCCCTCCCCTCCCCTCCCCTCTTCTCTCTCTACCCCATCTACTGTAATTCATTTCTCCCCCTTGTTTTTTTTTTCCCTTTCCCCTCACTTCCTCTTGTATGTAATTTTGTATAACCCTGAGGGTTTCCTTCCATTTCCATGCAATTTCCCTTCTCTCTCCCTTTCCCTCCCACCTCTCATCCCTGTTTAATGTCAATCTTTTTCTCATGCTCTTCCTCCCTACTCTGTTCTTACTTACTCTCCTTATATCAAAGAAGACATTTTGCATTTGTTTTTTAGGGATTGGCTAGCTTCACTTAGCATAATCTGCTCTAATGCCATCCATTTCCCTGTAAATTCTATGATTTTGTCATTTTTTAATGCAGAGTAATACTCCATTGTGTATAAATGCCACATTTTTTTTATCCATTCCTCTATTGAAGGGCATTTAGGTTGGTTCCACAGCCTTGCTATTGTGAATTGTGCTGCTATGAACATCGATGTAGCAGTGTTCCTGTAGTATGCTCTTTTTAGGTCTTTAGGGAATAGACCGAGAAGGGGAATAGCTGGGTCAAATGGTGGTTCCATTCCCAGCTTTCCAAGAAATCTCCATACTGCTTTCCAATTTGGCCGCACCAATTTGCAGTCCCACCAGCAACGTACAAGTGTACCCTTTTCCCCACATCCTCGCCAGCACTTGTTGTTGTTTGACTTCATAATGGCTGCCAATCTTACTGGAGTGAGATGGTATCTTAGGGTGGTTTTGATTTGCATTTCTCTGATTGCTAGAGATGGTGAGCATTTTTTCATGTACTTGTTGATTGATTGTATGTCCTCCTCTGAGAAGTGTCTGTTCAGGTCCTTGGCCCATTTGTTGATTGGGTTATTTGTTTCCTTATTGTTTAATTTTTTGAGTTCTTTGTATACTCTGGATATTAGGGCTCTATCTGAAGTGTGAGGAGTAAAGATTTGTTCCCAGGATGTAGGCTCCCTATTTACCTCTCTTATTGTTTCTCTTGCTGAGAAAAAAATTTTAGTTTGAGTAAGTCCCATTTGTTGATCCATTTTGAGTTAACTTTTGTGCATGGCGAGAGAAAGGGATTCAGTTTCATTTTGTTGCATATGGATTTCCAGTTTTCCCAGCACCATTTGTTGAAGATGCTATCCTTCCTCCATTGCATGCTTTTAGCCCCTTTATCAAATATAAGATAGTTGTAATTTTGTGGATTGGTTTCTGTGTCCTCTATTCTGTACCATTGGTCCACCCGCCTGTTTTGGTACCAGTACCATGCTGTTTTTGTTACTATTGCTCTGTAGTATAGTTTGAAGTCTGGTATCGCTATACTGCCTGATTCACACTTCCTGCTTAGAATTGTTTTTGCTATTCTGGGTCTTTTATTTTTCCATATGAATTTCATGATTGCTTTCTCTATTTCTACAAGAAATGCCGTTGGGATTTTGATTGGCATTGCATTAAACCTATAGAGAACTTTGGGTAATATCGCCATTTTGATGATGTTAGTTCTGCCTATCCATGAACAGGGTATATTTTTCCATCTTCTAAGGTCTTCTTCTATTTCTCTCTTTAGGGTTCTGTAGTTTTCATTGTATAAGTCTTTCACCTCTTTTGTTAGATTGATTCCCAAGTTTTTTTATTTGTTTTTTTTGTTTGTTTGTTTGTTTTTTGAGGATATTGTAAATGGAGTGGCTGTCCTCATTTCCATTTCAGAGGATTTGTCGCTGATATACAGGAATGCCTTTGATTTATGCGTGTTGATTTTATATCCTGCCACTTTGCTGAATTCATTTATTAGCTCTAATAGTTTCTTTGTAGACCCTTTTGGGTCTGCTAGGTATAGAATCATGTCATCTGCAAATAGTGATAATTTAAGTTCTTCTTTTCCTATTTTTATGCCTTTAATTTCTTTCGTCTGTCTAATTGCTCTGGCCAGTGTTTCGAGAACTATGTTGAACAGAAGTGGTGAGAGAGGGCATCCCTGTCTTGTTCCAGATTTTAGAGGGAATGCCTTCAATTTTTCTCCATTCAGAATGATGCTTAGCATAGACAGCTTTTAAGTCTATTGATGTGGTGAATAACATTTATTGATTTCCTTATATTGAACCAGCCTTGAATCCCAGGGATGAATCCTACTTGATCATGGTGCACAGTTTTTTTGATATGTTTTTGTATCCGATTCGCCAGAATTTTATTGAGGATTTTTGCATCTAGATTCATTAGAGATATTGGTCTGTAGTTTTCTTTCTTTGAAATGTCTTTGTCTGGTTTAGGAATCAGGGTGATGTTGGCCTCATAGAATGAATTTGGAAGTTCTCCCTCTTTTTCTATTTCCTGGAATAGCTTGAAAAGTATTGGTATTAGTTCATCTTTAAAGGTTTTGTAAAACTCTGCTGTATACCCATCCGGTCTTGGGCTTTTCTTAGTTGGTAGTCTTTTGATGGCTTCTTCTATTTCCTAAATTGATATTGGTCTGTTTAGGTTATCTATATCCTCCTGACTCAATCTGGGTGGATCATATGACTTAAGAAATTTATCAATGCCTTCACTATCTTCTATTTTATTGGAGTATAAGGATTCAAAATAATTTCTAATTATCTTCTGTATTTCTGAAGTGTCTGTTGTGATATTGCCTTTTTCATCCCGTATGCTAGTAATTTGAGTTCTCTCTCTTCTTTTCTTCGTTAGCATGGCTAAGGGTCTGTCGATCTTGTTTATTTTTTCAAAGAACCAACTTTTAGTTTTGTCAATTTTTTCAATTGTTTCTTTTGTTTCGATTTCATTAATTTCAGCTCTGATTTTAATTATTTCTTGCCTTCTACTTCTTTTCTGTTGTTTTGCTCTTCTTTTTCTAGGATTTTGAGATGAAGTGTGAGATCATTTATTTGTTGGTTTTTCCTTTTTTTAAGGAATGAACTCCAGGCAATGAATTTTCCTCTTAGAACTGCTTTCATTGTGTCCCATAGATTCCGATATGTTGTGTCTGTGTTTTCATTTATCTCTAAGAATTTTTTAATTTCCTCCTTGATGTCTTCTATAACCCATTGATCATTCAGTAACCTATTGTTCATTTTCCAAGTGATGCATGATTTTTCCTTCCTTCTTTTATCGTTGATTTCCAGTTTCATTCCATTATGATCAGATAAGATGAATGGTATTATCTCTACTCCTTTATAATGTCTAAGAGTTGCCCTGTGACATAATATATGATCTATTTTTGAGAAGGATCCATGTGCTGCTGAGAAAAAAGTGTAACTGCTTGATGTAGGGTGGTATATTCTATATATGTCAATTAAGTCTAGGTTATTAATTGTATTATTGAGTTCTATAGTTTCTTTATTCTACTTTTGTTTGGAAGATCTGTCCAGTGGTGAGAGAGGTGTGTTGAAGTCTCCCATAATTATTGTATGGTGGTCTATTAGACTCTTGAACTTGAGAAGAGTTTGTTTGATGAACATAGCTGCACCATTGTTTGGAGCATATATATTTATGATTGTTATGTCTTGTTGGTGCATGGTTCCCTTGAGCAGTATGTAGTGTCCCTCTTTATCCCTTTTGATTAACTTTGGCTTGAAATCTATTTTATTTGATATGAGTATGGACACTCCTGCTTGTTTCCAAAGTCCATATGAGTGATATGATTTTTCCCAACCTTTCACCTTCAGTCTATGTATGTCTTTTCCTGTCAAATGCGTCTCCTGTAGGCAGCATATTGTTGGATCTTTTTTTTTTTTTTTTTTGATCCATTCTACTAGCCTGTGTGTCTTAATTGGTGAGTTTAAGCCATTAACATTTAGGGTTATTATTGAGATATGGATTGTTCTTCCAGCCATATTTGTTTATTTATGTTACTTAACATGGTTTGTTTTTCCTGTTTGATTATATTTTCCCTTTACTGTACTACCTCCCACTTTTGGTTTTCATTGTTATTTTCCATTTCCTCTTCCTGTAATGTTTTGCCGAGGATGTTTTGAAAAGATGGTTTTCTAGCTGCAAATTCTTTTAGCTTTTGTTTATCATGGAAGGTTTTAATTTCATCTTCCATCCTGAAGCTTAATTTCGCTGGATACACAATTCTTGGTTGGAACCCATTTTCTTTCAGCATTTGAAATATGTTGTTCCAGGATCTTCTAGCTTTCAGAGTCTGTGTTAAAAGATCAGCTGTTATCCTGATTGGTTTACCCCTAAATGTAATCTGCTTCCTTTCTTTTGAAGCTTTTAAAATTCTCTCCTTATTCTGTATGTTGGGCATCTTCATTATAATGTGTCTAGGTGTGGATCTCTTATGATTTTGCACATTCGGCATCCTGAAGGTTCTAGGATTTGGTTTCTGTCTCATTCTTCAAGTCTGGGAAGTTTTCTCGTATTATTTCATTTAACAGATTGCTCATTCCTTTGGTTTGGACCGCTATACCTTCCTGTATCCCAATGACTCTTAGGTTCCGTCTCTTTATGTTATCCCATATTTCTTGGATGTTGTGCTCATGGTTTCTTAAGAGTCTCGTTGAGTTGTCTATGTTCTTTGAAGTTGAAATAATTTGTCTTCATTGTCTGATGTTCTGTCTTCTAAGTGTTCTACTCTGCTGGTAGTATTCTCATTTGAGTTTTTAAGTTGGTTTATTGCTTCCTGCATTTCTAGGATTTCTGTTTGTTTGTTTTTTTATAACCTCTATCTCCCTGTAGAGTTGATCTTTTGCTTCTTGGATTTGTTTATGTAATTCATTGTCAAAGTGATCTTTCATTGTCTGATTTTGCTGTATAATGTCTTCCTTGAGACTCCAGATCATCTGAAGCATGTAAATCCTGAATTCTTTATCTGATATTCCATCTGCTGCAGCTATTACCTCTTCTAAAGTTGAGTTGACCTGCATTGCTTGTGGTCCTTTCTTTCCTTGTCTTTTCATACTGCTCGCGTTTCTTTCTGCTTGGTGAAACTGTTGTGTTTTTGAATTTTCCCCCTATATATTTATATTGCTCTTGTATAGTTACAAAGTCTCCCTTTCAGGGGTGGGCGGCAGCTGTGCTCCTCCTCCAATTGGGGTGATCTATCACGCCAGGGGGCCGCTGGGCCCCTTCTCCAGGTCGCATGGTCTGCCTACCTTGCAGGCAACAGCTGGGCCCCTCCTCCAATAGGGGTGATCTGTCTACCACGCTGGCGGGCCGCTGGGCCTGTTCTCCAGGTTGCAGGTCTGCCTACCTTGCAGGCGCGGGTGGCGGCTGTGCCCCTCCTCCTATTGGGGTGATCATTCAACTAGGCCAGCGGGCCGCTGGGCCCCTTCTCTGTGACATGCGGTCTGCCTACCTTGCGGGCAGCAGCTGGGCCCTTCCTCCAATTGGGGTGATGTGTATACCACGCCGGCGGGCCGCTGGGCCTGTTCTCCCAGTTGGTCGCAGGTCTGCCTACCTTGCAGGCGCGGGCGCTCTGCCCCTCCTCCAATTGGGGTGATGTGTCTACCACGCTGGCGGGCCACTGGGCCTGTTCTGCCCGTCTGCCTACCTTGCAGGCGCAGGCGGTGGCTCTGCTCTGCCCCTCCTCCAATTGGGGTGACATGTCTACCACGCTGACAGGCTGCTGGGCCTGTTCTGCCGGTCGGTTGCAGGTCTGCCTACCTTGCAGGCACGGGCGGTGGCTCTGCTCTGCCCCTCCTCCAATTGGGGTGACGTGTCTAGAAAGAACTGTTTTAATTCCTCTTTAAATTCAATACCTCATGAATGCTTTGTTTTCTGTTGTTCCTATTTTGCTTTCCAGATAATGCCACATTTTATTTTCTCAAACTTCCAGAATCCTTGCCAAGTAAATTCCTCTCATTTCCTTTGCATGTTTCTATTCTTAACATCTCTTCCCACAGCTTTTTATTTGTTTGGGTTTGGTCTCTGGATGCATTTTCCCTTTAACATTTTCTTGTATTTACTCTTATGGTTTGGAAACTAATCAACAGGAGCCTGCTTCCTTTTCTTTTCATCCTAGCCTTTTCTCCCAATGATTATTAAAAAAAAATTTCCCCGGGGCTGGGGTTGTGGCTCAGCAGTAGAGCGCTCACCTCACACATGTGAGACCCTGAGTTCGATCCTCAGCATCACATAAAAAATAAATAAATAAATAAATAAATAAATAAGTGAAATAAAGGTGTTGTGTCCAATACAACTAAAAAATAAAGATATTTTTAAAAAATTTCCCTATGCTTTTCAGACTGGGAAACTCAACTAAAAGATTCAATTCCTGTGCAGAATGTTCCTGGGAATACAACATCCAATGGCATAAAAATGGTAAGATGTACCTGAAATGATGCCAGGCATGGTACCACACTGAGAATCACAAATTTGATTCCAGCCTGGGCAACTTAGCAAGACCCTGTCTCAAAAGAAAGGTCTGGGGATATAGTACAGTGGCATAGCATTTGCCTACCATGAATAAAGCCCTGGGTTCAGTCTCAGTACTTAAAGTTTGCTAAGAATGATTCCTGGTTCTTTATGGAAGATGAGAATTAACAACAAGTAAAAAAACAACATTACTCTAAAATCAGGGGCATGAGTTGAGGAAGAGGCATTTACTCCTCAGAAAGCTGAACTAGAAGGCAGTATTAGAGAAATCTATAAACCTAATTCAGAAAGTTTCTAGGTCCGAAATCTATAAACCTAATTCAGAAAGCTTCTAGAAGGCAGTATTAGAGAAATCTATAAACCTAATTTAGTACTTGCTGCTTCACAGATAATACCCACAATATTTACTTAAGCATTGTTCTAGTATTAAGTACTTAATACATAATTAATTTTTCATTCATACTAGAGAATCTCTATTGGACAAAGCTCAATAGCTTATTCACCTTGAAAAACTAATACAGCAAAAGTCATACCTGTAGTCCCAGCACTCAAAGGGTAAGGCAGGAAGATCACTTGAGCCTCAAGATCAGCCTGGGCAGTTTAGTGATACTCTGTCTCCTTAAAAAACAACCAACAACAAAAAAGTCATAACCAACATTAGTCATAATCATCTACTACTTTTATATGGCAAAATCCACATGGAAGGGAATTCCTAGGGGTGAGATTAATGTCAGAAAGCCTTTAGTCACCACTTATTTTTTATTCAATAGGTACCAACCCAACCTGGCAAGAAACCTATAGAAAGATTCTTCAGAAAGAACCCTTACCTTATTTGTATCAGTCATTGCAAGGAAGAGAAATGCTATAAATATAAAGAATACGGCAAAGGCTTCAAACATCCCTCAACTACTAAAAGTCATGTGAGTATGCACACTGCAGAGAAAATTTTAGAATGTAAGGATTGTGGGAAAGTTTTCAATCAGGAGTCATGCCTTAGAAAACACTTAAGAACTCTCACAGGAGAGAAGGCTTACAGGTGTAATCAGTGTGGTGTATCCTTCAGCCTTCACTTTTCCTTCTCAGGATGTGAGCAAATACATACTGGAGAGAAATTCTATGAACGCACTGACTGTAGAACAAAGTCTTCCCTTAGTGTTCATAAAAAAATACAAACTGTGGAGGAGAGCTTGGAATGTAACAAATATGGGAGAGCTTTCACTGACCCTTTGTCCCTTCAGAAATGTGTCAGAACTCACACTAAAGAGAAACTCTATGAGTGCAGTGACTGTGGAAAAGCCTTCATTTTTCAGTCCTCCCTGAAGAAACATATGAGATCCCACACTGGAGAGAAACCTTACGAGTGTAATCATTGTGGAAAATCCTTCAGCCAGAGCTCTCATCTCAATGTGCACAAAAGAACTCACACTGGAGAGAAACCCTATGATTGTAAGGAGTGTGGGAAGGCCTTCACTGTTCCTTCATCCCTTCAGAAACATGTGAGAACCCACACTGGAGAGAAACCTTATGAATGCACTGACTGTGGAAAAGCCTTCATTGATCAGTCATCTCTTAAGAAACACACACGGTCTCACACTGGAGAAAAACCATATGAGTGTAATCAGTGTGGAAAATCCTTCAGCACAGGCTCTTATCTTATTGTGCACAGAAGAACTCACACTGGAGAAAAAACCTATGAGTGTAAAGAATGCGGGAAGGCCTTTAGGAATTCCTCTTGCCTGAGGGTACATGTGAGAACACACACTGGAGAGAAGCCCTATAAATGCATGCAGTGTGGGAAAGCCTTCAGCACAAGCACTAACCTTATAATGCACAAGCGAATACATACAGGACAGAAAGTCTGTGAATGAAATGACTTTTGAGGAGGTTATGTTGTCCTGCATGTCTCATTCCTCATTCTAGAACTCACACTGGAGAGAAATTGTATTGTAAACCATGTGGAAAAAGTATTGAGGCACAATTCTTAGTTCTTATCAGTAATGACTGTTTCATACTTAAAGTGCCATAACTCATTAATTTATAAGCATTGAAGACAATATATCAGTAAACTGCTTGACTCACACCACAAAAGTTTTGATAATGTAATATTATAAGTTAGTACTAAATAATGTCTGATTCCTATCAAGATATTTTAGACCCACAGATAAGTTAGAAGTGAGTTTATTAATAGGCATATCTTATGTATATTTTAGTTAACTTTATTTTAACTCATTTTGGACAGAATGCATAGTCTTAATGATATAGATAAATGTAAAAAGTTGGTAGAAACTTGCTGTGTGGTGTACGTAGCTGACAGAACTAGTTACTGTCCCAATATTCATTCTCTGCCCCCTTGTTCCTTAAAATAAAAATCTCACAATTTTGTTTAATTTGGCAATATTGAAACAGTGTTTAAGCACTCATTTCCCAACCTACCTTGCAGCGATATGATTGGCCAAATGTATCCACAGTCCTTAAAACGAGAAGACAGATGTCACTGAATGTGGCTTCTAAGGAATCTTATGGAAATAGGAACATCTCATTTAGCATTTTCTTATCACCATTTGCCCTTTCTCTTATCCTTTCTTTTTTCCTAAGAAATACATCATCAAGAGGATAACAGTTACAAGATATTAATGACACAACAGAGGATACATAATATCTACCTGCACCAATCCTGAACTGCTTATCTCTAGATTTCATGTTATATGAGAAAATAAACTCCTGTTTAAACTACTCTTTTTTACCAGGGATTGAACTCAGGGACACTGAGACATATCCCCAACCCTGACTTGTATTTTTTATTTAGAGACAGGGTCACACTGAGTTGCTTAGCACCTCACTTTTGCTGAGGCTGGCTTTGAACTTGGCAATCCTCCTGCCTCCACCTCCCATGTTATTGGGATTACAGGCGTGCATCATTGCACCCAGCTAAACTACTCTTGTGAGAAGTTTCACTTATAACTGATTTCAGTTCCAGCTGTTTTAGCTGATGTGTATTCAAGTTTTATGAATCCTTCATGTATGGTTGAAACCTATGTTTTCTAATTGTTGAATATAACAGGCTATCTATCCATGTATCCATTGGGTAAATATTTTTTTTAATTTGTATAATTACAAACTATCTCTTGATCTGCCAATTATTGAGAAATATGCTACAGTGTCACACCATAACTGAATTGTCAAATGATTTGTTTTTAAAGAATTGTCTCCTTTCTTTTACTTTCAGGCACCGTAATAGGATGGCATATAAGTTTACTGATTTTACATGTTTCTGCTAAGTGTCCCTTTATTCTTATAGTAGTGCACATCCTTTTTCCCTAATAATGAGGTACTCATTAATTCACTTTATATAGATGTGACCTACTGACCTAACTAATGCCATTTTCTCCATACCAACTTGTAAAGATAAGAGCAAATTATCTTTTCTCAGTACTCAGTTAATGCTGTGCCTGCAGTAACATGTCACTATTCATCTGCAGCTGTCCTTTATATTGATGATTATTTGCTGACTAGCCCTGAGAAGAAGGAAATATCAAGTACTTTAAATTTAAATGCTTTAGTAAAGTATATATGAATGATAGGACAGGAAGTAGGCCAAACCTGGTAAAGGAATTCAGCTGTCTGCAACATGCTAAGATGTTTTCACCAAGGTGACAGGAACTTGTAACACCTACTTCAAAGAAATAGCACAGTGCTTGACATGCCTTTTTGGGGTTGGGAAGGATTATATAATACATTTGAATATTCCACACTGAAATATCTACAGATGGCTGTACTACTGAATTCTGCCCTATAAAAGTTACAAGCAATATGGAAACAATTGAGAATTTAGAAAATCAAGGAACACATTCTGGCAATATATGAAGACAATATAAGCAGAAAAACAAATTAAGACAAAGACTATAAAACCCAAAAACCTTCAAAAGTCATTTATAAAAGTAGGTAGTTTTCAAAAAGAGAATCTGTCATGCTCAATTTAACTTTATCCAGAAAGAGAAAGTTGGTTTTATACTAGAAGAATCAATCAATATAATTCACTTTTTAAATAGGACTCTTCCTCATTTAGCCATCCTAATAATTATTTGGCACATAAAATGAATAAAGCAATGTTGTAAATATTACTGCACTATTAAACAAATATCCTAGTAGAATAGGAAAAAATTTGGTAAATTTGAGAGATTTATGAGCCCGGCACAGTGGCACATGCCTATAATTCCTGCTTGGAAGGCTGAGGCTGGAGGTTCACAAATTTGAGGCCAGCCTGGGCAACTTACCAAGATTGCAAATAAATAGACTCAAAATAAAAAGGGGAGGTAGTATAACTCAGTGATAGAGTGCCCCACAGTTCAATCCCCAGTATTTGGGAGGGAGGAGATTTATGTAAAAACCTCTCAAAATAGACTAGGCTGGAGTTGTAGCTGTGTGGTGGAATGCTTGCTTAGCATATGTGAGGCACTAGGTTTGATCCTCAGCACCACATAAAAAATAAATTGTCCATATACAACTTTAAAAAAATACAATAGACTGTGTAACAGTAAAGGAAAAAAACAAGTCTTAAGTTTAAAAAAAAAAATTACATTAGGTCAGTAAGAAGCCAGGTGCAGTGGCATGATCTGTGATCCTAGTATTCTGGAGGCTAAAGCAGAAGGATCTCTTGGGTCCAGAAGTTCCAGACCAGCCTAGGCCAAAATAGCAAGTTTGGTTTTAAAAAAAAAAAATAGGAAGATGACAAGGGTGCCCATTATTGCAAATATATACTGCAATACTGTTGTGAGACAAGGGAAAAACATAGAATACCTAAGGACCAGGAAGGTAGAAGTAAGTCTCATTATTTACAATGATACCTAAGTGAAAAGCTGTAGAGAAATCTATATAAAAAATTATTAGAGGGCTGGGGATGTGGCTCAAGCGGTAGCGCACTCGCCTGGCATGCGTGCGGCCCGGGGTTCAATCCTCAGCACCACAGACAAACAAAGATGTTGTGTCCGCCGATAACTAAAAAAAATAAATATTAAAAAATTCTCTCACTCTCTCTTTAAAAAAAATAAAATAAAAATAAAAAATTATTAGAAATAATGAAAATGTTAGGGCCAGGAATAGTTCAGTTATAGAGCACTTGATTGCATGTGCAAGGTCCTGGGTTTGAGCCTCATCACCACACCAAAAAAAAATTTTTTTTTAGTAAAATTGCTGGAAACAACTTTAATATCTTAACAAAGACAAACTTGTAATTTATCAGGAATAGAAATGTAACACTAACATATAAGAATAATTTAAAATTTACTAAAACAAGCTGGTCATAGACCCAGCTACAAGTGAGAATGAGGCAAAATGATCACTTAAGCCCTGGAGTTTGATGCCAGCCTGGGCAACATAAGGAAAAAATAAATACAATTTACCAAAACTATTTTGAAGCCAATCTAATATTAAAGATGACCTTTAAAAATCAATACATTCAGGACTGGGGTTGTGGCTCAGTGGTAGAGTACTCGCCTAGGACATGCAAGGCCCTGGGTTCAACCCTCAGCATCACATAAACATGAATAAATAAAATAGAGGTATTGTGTCCAACAATAATTTAAAAATATTGAAAATAATACATTTATTGGAAGATTCAATTTGGAAATGATTTGGTTCTAAACTGATTGATTTGAGATTTTGAAAGTTCCAGAGTTGTACAGCTCCACTTCAAGATTGGATGGGGAAGGTTTACTGGACCCTTCTGAATCCATTGTAGCAACTGGAAAAACAAACAATTGTGGTTTAACATCTTTAAAGACTGGAGATCTTCGGACACAAAGAGGGTACAGGAATTACAGGGCAGAGAAGGATGAGGCCCTCTTTGTTTTTCCCTGGTTGGGAACAGGCTGGTGGAAGATCAGGCTCCACAGGCAGGGGAACTTCACTGTAGAATGAAAGACCAGTGAAGAATGCATGGCCACACTGGGTTACCGTGCACTGTAGTAGGGATGATCCTCAGAACTGGTATTTCCTTACAGTACTTTTTATCCCCCCTGAAGCTTTTGCTGAGTGTACAGGAGCATGAGAGGCTGGGCACCAGCCTAGAAAGAAATGGGTTTTTCCTGTTTCTGTATTTAGATTCCTGACAGTCACAGGAAAGCTCTTATTCCCAAGATGGTTGAAACCAGAAGTGAACTGAAACTGACTGCCCCATCTCAACCTCTGAATGGTTGAAACTGATGAGTTGACAGAGAAAGGTGATTCCCTTCCAGGAGAAAGCCTCTTTTCTTTTTTCAAATTTTGAGGTTCTTTTATATGTAATATCCACACACAATTTTAAAAATTAAGTGCCATATGAAGCAGCAGGATAATCTTATCAATAATTAGAAGAGGGGTTGAGGTTGTAGCTCAGTGGTAGAGTGCTTGCCTATCATGCATAAGGCACTGGGTTTGATCCTTAGCACCACATAAAATGTAAAATAAAAATATTGTGTCCAACTAAAATTAAAAAGTAAATATTAAAGTAATCAGAAGAAAAAAAGAACCAATATAAGTTGGCCCATAGACAATAGGAATTAGCAGACAAGGACTTTAGAATTATCACAAGTATAGTAAAACAAGAAAAAAATTAAATGGATGAAATAACATAGAACTACAGTATAGAAGTATAGAATATCTAAAGTAGAAACAAATAGATATCTTAGAAGTGAAAATTCTTATCACTGAAATAAATTCTGTAAGTGAGCTTGACATGGAGCGAGGGGCGATCAGTGAATTCAAAAACATATTAACAGAAATACTGCAAGCCTAAGAACATAAAACAATGAGTGCTTTCTAAAATTGAACCCACAGATTCAAGAAGTTCAGCACACCCAAGCAGGATAAATGCAAAGAAAACCATATCTACAAAAATTATAGTCAATCTGTTAAAAATTAAAGAATCTTAAAGGAATAAAGAGGAAGAAAAAGACATTTGAAAGAATCATAGCTGACTTGTCAGCAGACATTAAAGCAGGAGAAAATGAAATTGTATCTTTAAAGCAGGCAAAGAACTCAAAACTAGAATTATGTACTCTTCAAATCCTTCAAAAGTAAAGATTTAGAACTGGGGGCGTAGCACAGTAGAACACTCGTGTAGCATGATCAAGTCCATGGGTTCCATCTCGAGCACTGCAAAAATAATAAACACTAACTGTATTTTCAGACAAAAAAAAAAGCTGATGAGATCAACTGCCAGTAGATTACAGCTACAAGGAATACTGCAGGAAGTGTTTCACACAAAGGGAAATAATCCCAGTTGAGGCACAGATTTGTGGAATAAAATTAAAGAACATGGAAAAGCAAATAGGTGGGTCGATATAAAATACAATTTTTGAAAAATTTTAAAACTACTGATTGTTTAAATAATGTATGAATTTATAACATG